CTCACCTCTTGTTGCACAACGGAGGACCAAGTGAAGGAGGCAGAAAGGTTGGAAGTTTGTTCTGGCAGATCATGCACGATGACCGTGACATTTTGGACGGACTTTTTAGCCTGGTGTTCGGAAGCCCCAAGACCTGGCTGCTAAACTATTGTTGAAGATCCGCTCAGTGGTGTAGTCTAGTTTTTTGTAGTGAGTATACTGTGATATGCCAGCAGCGCTACCCCCCCCCCAACTCAATATAGGCTTTTCATTCATGGGGTCAACTGATAGGTGGATTTTCCCTATGAATAATTTTTCTCGGACACGTTTATTCACTTAAAGCTAGGTAATTAAGTTTATTAAATGCATTCAAAACAAATAGGCTACACATTCATTATTGATCTTATGACTACAGGGCCGTAGACAGGGCTTTATAATCAAAGAGGTCCTAAATTTGAGGTTGGTGCTTCAAATTTTTTAAATTTCTCTGATGTGCATTTCAAGATGTTTGAAGACCAAAAAAAGGATAAGAAATAGCTTTAAAACCATGTCAGTGGGCACATTCTCTTCCCCTCCGAAGGCTGAGCTTTTTTAATGCACTAAAGGATACGATTTTTATTATATTCTCAATATGTACACATTCATTATTACTCTTGTGGCTAAAATGATGAAAACGGCTTTGTTAATGTTGCTTGTCCCCTCGCAATGAGAGTAAACTAATAAATTGCATGAGTCACGTTACAGGCCTATTTATTTCAGTTAAAAATGGCGAAATTAGACAAAACTATATTAGTTTGCCTGGTTATTTTTTTTGTCATTCGTTTAACATTTATGACCTAAAAAATGTAAAATATGAAGTTTAGCCACTTGCATCTTATCTCGCACTTGCCTGTAAACTGAAGGGTCGAGTTGCTCTGCTGAAATTCGCGCTCAGCGTCTGTGAACATAAAGCCCGCCTACTTTGATTTGATTTGTCATCTCAAATATTCTGACATTGACGAGCGGTGACAGACCAATGAGGCTCAGATGAACACGAACACACACACACACACCCTGTCCTCTGTTTTTGAGGTGCTCTCTGCTCGCGCGCTGAATCTGATAACAGAACTTAAGGGAGCACGAAATTCTGTCGCCAACGTTTAGGGGGGCTGATGTTGTAGGAAATTTAATTAACAAAACGATGTCGTTACGAATCCTCACGCTTTTTAAAGTGGGCATACGGAGATCTTTGACATTTCCTAGTGGGCATACGCAAATCCTTGACATTTTCTAGTGGGTATACGGCGTATACCTGCGTATCACGTAGACTACACCACTGGATCCACTCAGGAGTCATGTTAGTAGTCCAGATTCCCAACAGTAAATTTACTGATTCTTGTGATGAATAGAACATTTTGAGCCCCTTTGTGTACTCATGCAGGAGGTTGGTGTGTCAGTTTTACATGTTGTAAATCATACAAATTGGTTGTGATTTTTTTTTTAAATAATTGTCATAAATAAAAATGTGAAAACCCATACTTGGATGACTATATTTGATTTTCAGTTTTAGATGGCAATGGTTTATTTGTTTTAATAAAAAAAAACTAAATGCCGTATAAAAATGTACAAACACATACAAACCCGATTCCAAAAAAGTTGGGACACTGTACAAATTGTGAGTAAAAAAAGAATGGAATAATTTAGAAATCTCATAAACTTATATTTTATTCACAATAGAATATAAATGACATATCAAATGTTGAAAGTGAGACATTTTGAATTGCCATGCCAAATATTGGCTCCTTTTGGATTTCATGAGAGCTACAAATTTCAAAAAAGTTGGGACAGGTAGCAATAAGAGGCCAGAAAAGTTAAATGTACATATAAGGAACAGCTGGAGGACCAATTTGCAACTTATTAGGTCAATTGGCAACATGATTGGGTATAAAAAGAGCCTCTCACAGTGGCAGTGTCTCTCAGAAGTCAAGATGGGCAGAGGATCACCAATTCCCCCAATGCTGAGGCAAAAAATAGTGGAGCAATATCAGAAAGGAGTTTCTCAGAGAAAAATTGCAAAGAGTTTGAAGTTATCATCATCTACAGTGCATAATATCATCCAAAGATTCAGAGAATCTGGAACAATCTCTGTGCGTAAGGGTCAAGGCCGGAAAACCATACTAAATGCCTGTGATCTTCGGGCCCTTAGACGGCACTGCATCACACACAGGAATGCTACTGTAATGGAAATCGCAACATGGGCTCAAGAATACTTCCAGAAAACATTATCAGTGAACACAATCCACCGTGCCATTCACCGTTGCCGGCTAAAGCTCTATAGGTCAAAAAAGAAGCCATATCTAGACGGGAACCAGAAGCGCAGGCGTTTTTCGCTGGGCCAAGGCTCATTTAAAGTGGACTCTAGCAAAGTGGAAAACTGTTCTGTGGTCAGACGAATCAAAATTTGAAGTTCTTTTTGGAAAACTGGGACGCCATGTCATCCGGACTAAAGAGGACAAGGACAACCCAAGTTGTTATCAGCGCTCAGTTCAGAAGCCTGCATCGCTGATGGTATGGGGTTGCATGAGTGCGTGTGGCATGGGCAGCTTACACATCTGGAAAGGCACCATCAATGCTGAAAGGTATATCCAAGTTCTAGAACAACATATGCTCCCCATCCAGACATCGTCTCTTTCAGGGAAGACCTTGTATTTTCCAACAAGACAATGCCAAACCACATACTGCATCAATTACAACATCATGGCTGCGTAGAAGAAGGATCCGGGTACTGAAATGGCCAGCCTGCAGTCCAGATCTTTCACCCATAGAAAACATTTGGCGCATCATAAAGAGGAAGATGCAACAAAGAAGACCTAAGACAGTTGAGCAGCTAGAAGCCTTTATTAGACAAGAATGGGAACACATTCCTATTCCTAAACTTGAGCAACTTGTCTCCTCAGTCCCAGACGTTTGCAGACTGTTATTAAAAGAAGAGGGGATGCCACACAGTGGTAAAAATTAGCCTGGCTGCGCCCTCCTACGCACTTCCGCTCAATTTCATTTTACTTCTGTACTACGTCTGGGATCGCTCCATATCCTTAGGTTTCCAGAAATCAATTTTTTGTAGGACCAATCAGCGAATAGAGGGAGTGGCTGATAAAGATGACGTTGATGTAAGCGCGTCAGTTACAGTTTGAGTTCAGAAATGGCAGCGGAGAAAGACGTGAGAAAAGCTATTCAGTCCGTTGTTGGAAAACTGCTGAATATACATAATTTAAAGCCGGATTGTTATCGTCTCACCTCTTGTCGCACAACTGAGGACCAAGAGAAGGAGGCAGAAAGTTTGGAAGTTTGTGCTGGGCAGCTCGTGCCTGATGACCGTGACATTTTGGACTGACGGTTTAGCCTGGTGTTCGGAAGCCCCGAGTCCTGGCTGCTAAACTATTGTTGAAGATCCGCTCAGGAGTCATGTCAGTCGCTCAGATTCCCAACTGTAAATGTACTGATTCTTCTGATGAATAGAACATTTTGAGCCCCTTTGTGCACTCGTGCAGGAGGTTGGTGTGTCAGTTTTACATGTTGTAAATCATACAAATTGGTTGTAATTTAAAAAAAAATAATTGTCATAAATAAAAATGTGAAAAACCATACTTTGAAGATATTTGATTTTCAGTTTTAGATGGCAATGGTTGATTTGTTTTACTAAAAAAAACTAAATGCCACATAAAAATGTACAAACACATACTTTGAAGACCATAATTAAGGTAATTGAGAAACAATAAGACGTAATATGAAAAATTGTTGTTTATTACACATCTGCAGATAGAGACAAGACTGATCATTCACTGTTGCTGCTACAGCATTTGCGGCAGATCAGAAACGACCACAGCGGCGTATTTGTAATGATTAGACACAGCTTCCACCGTTGAATGAATATATCACTGTCCTTCGTGTCAAATATACATTTCGAATTAATAATTGTTCCTAGATTAACAAAACCTGCGGCGCTCGTTGACTGAAATCCTATTGTAAACATAATCCTCTGATCATTCGGACTTTTTTTTCCAGCCATTTCGGCGCGTGACATACGTCACTCACGACAACCCGTTAGCGATTGGCTATGGCAGATCGTGAGTGACTTTGGGCAGATCCAATAGATTTGAACTTTAATAGTGAACCCGCCTACAAGGAAGGAAACGTTTCTCAATGGAGCGGTTCCAGACTCTATGTGGAAATGAAATGAACTAGAGTCTGGTTGAACCAGGCTAGGTAAAAATGGCCTTGTCCCAACTTTTTTGAGATGTGTCGATGCCATGAAATTTAAAATCAACTTATGTTTCCCTTAAAATTATGCATTTTCTCAGTTTAAACATTTGATATGTCATCTATGTTGTATTCTAAATATAATATTGAAATTTGAAACTTCCACATCATTGCATTCTGTTTTTATTCACAATTTGTACAGTGTCCCAACTTTTATGGAATTCGGTTTGTACTTTGAAGACCATAATTAAGGTAATTAAGCAACAATAAGACGTAATATGAAAAATTGTTGTTTATTACACATCTGCAGATAGAGACAGACTGATCATTCACTGTAGCTGCTACAGCATTTGCGGCAGATCAGAAAACGACCACAGCGGCGTATTTGTAATGATTAGACACAGCTTCCACCGTTGAATGAATATACAGTATCACTGTCCTTCGTGTCAAATATACATTTCGAATTAATAATTGTTCCTAGATTAACAACACCTGCGGCGCTCGTTGACTGAAATCCTATTGTAAACATAATCCTCTGATCATTCGGACTTGTTGTTTCCAGCCGTTTCGGCGCATGACATACGTCACTCACGACCACAAGTTAGCGAGTCTGGTTGAACCAGGCTACTTACTTAGTGCTTTGAACTCTTCATTATCAAATTGTTTGCATGTTATGAAATACAGTAAATACAGATTTTGGTAATTTTTTTTAGGTTTCTTCTCCTTCAGAAGTTGTTCTGTGTATTGTATTATATATGACTGAGTAGGGCTGTCAAACGATTAATCACGATTAATCGCATCCCAAAAAAGTTTGTGTTCACATAATATATGTGGGTGCACTGTGTATAATCGCGATTAATCATTTGACAGCCCTGTGACAGAGCTTGATGACAGAATGTTCATTTTTCCATGAACTCCAATGTAAGATGTAGAATAATGTCTTAAAATAACTGACATGAGAGCATCCTAACATCACAGCCCAATCTGACATGTAATTGTTTTCAATCACAGCACGATCTGATAGGTACCATCACTTAGAAACTGAGGAGGAGGACGATACAAATGATGAAGACTTTAATGTGGAACTACGGCAGTTTTCCTCATCTTCACACCGATTCTCTAAAGTGAGTTCTCTCTCTCTCTCTCTCTCTCTCTCTCTCTCTCTCTCTCTCTCTCTCTCTCTCTCTCTCTCTCTCTCTTCCTCTTTCCTCACATTTACTTGTTTAATTCATGCAGTGCAGAAGAATTCAGCTGAGAAGAGTCCTGTTCGGTGGATGCGTAATGTGTTTGCATTTTGCAAGTTTTAATAAAGACGTCTAACGATGTGGCAAACACTGTCTGTGGGATAAAGCTCAGCTCATATATTTACATATATTTGCAATCTGATATAGGGATATATTTTTGTAGGTCAGGGAACAATATCACACACAACAAATACTCATGCACATTCTTGTTCTCGGCATGCAGGGCTTTGGTGCATTGCAGTATGAGTTGCTTCCAGAATCTCTATCATGCTTGCAATGAATATATCTGGAATATATCTGTGTTTTATAGTGTTAGACAGTGGTTATATTATTAATATCTTATTAATATATATATATATATATATATATGAATGAATTTAATTCGTCTTCCCTCTGAGGTTTGCCTTAAGCCCCCTAGTGGGTCTCGGCCCCCTCTTTAAGAACCACTGTATTAGACAGATTTTAAATAGTAAGATGGATTTGAAATGTAAATTTGTGTTTAAAATTTAAAGAACATACTTTGTCATGCATTTCAGGCTTCTGAAAATTAGGGGTGATTAGTGATTGCCATTTTGTGAATTGACTGTTTTGTACTAAATTTGTACAATGTGATTTGTATACAAAGGTAAGCATGAAGCATAACCCTCAGTGGGGTGTGAGGAGATCGGACAAAACTAAATTGGTGGCAAATTCATACGAGTTTGTACAATGTGGCTTGTGAAAGTGATCCATCTAGCAACAGTGTTCAGCAGTGGCGGCTGGTGAAAAATATTGGAGGGGGGGCTGGGGGTCCCCCCCCAAAAAAAGTTTTGAATTTAGTAGATGTGATTTCCTGCATTCTGGTGCATTTTAGGCCTTAGGCCATGCCCCTACCTATACCAATAAAATAACTTAAACCAGTCAATACCAATGGTCAAATAATACATAATAACAGTTTGACAGTTAATGATAATGAACAAGTTGCATGTTTATTATGCTCTGTGTACTGACAGAACGCATAATATTGATAAATGATATAGGTAATACAAAAAATAATAGGTAATACAACAATCTAGTTTAATCAATCCCCAGCTGTAGACTACATTTTGACAAATTGAATTGGATAATGGATAACAATGTGTTGATACTAGAGAAAGAGAGAGAGAAAAGGCTCTGAAAAAGAGGGTGGGACAACATTCTTGAGGGTAACACCCAAGTATGAGAAGAAAGTTGATTTTAACTAGTATGAAACACAGTAAGCTCAGAACTTAAAAACATCAAAAAACAAAGCAAACACACAGGTATTAATATTCCTATAACTATTTTAATATCAAATGTGCGTGAAACAGTGTTTATATGTGTGTGAGTGAGTGAGTGAGTGACAGAGACAGACAGGTCAATTCCCACGACTAACTTTACATTATTTCCACTCGACGTCACTGGCGCTGCCATTCTGCTCTCATCTGAGTTAAAAAAATGTCCAGTGGTGCGCGTGCACGGTGCACTCCCCTAATCTGATACTGTGGGCGATATTTTCAGCGCCCCCAAACCATAAAATTTGACGACGCTGATTGGCGAAATATAAACTTTTTTGCATAGCAACCGGGGAACCATTGGCTTAAATTCCAGCACTGTGGGGCTGAGCGAACTGGCGCCCTGAGAAGACAGCCTATTGGCTATACTACTACACCAACATGATAAAAGTAACGAAAGTGAATGCAAATATCATTCTGGTGAGTTCAAAACACTTTTCAAAGTAAAACCATTATTAGCATATAATTAACACAGATTATTTTTCAAAATGATAAATTATAATATATATTAAAAAAACAGACAGACAGGTCGGAGGCAGTGGCGCAAAAAGTGGGTATGCGCTATATGCGGCGCATAGGGGCGCAGCACAATGGGGGGCGCCAAAGCGATGGTTAAAAAAAAAAACAATTATATATAGGCTATATTGTATTTCTATATGTAGCTGCCGTTGTGCGTTTCTAAATCATTTCTGCATTCCTTCAATGTTATATAAAATTTTAGAGGACTAACAGCAAGGCTAGAGTAGACGCCCTCATGGAGAAGGGGAGCGGGTAATATCGCGAGCGGGCGGAGGCGCCGTGAGCGCTGAGCGAGCAGGTACAAGTAGTGAGTTGTCGTCGAAAAAGATGGATAAAACAAAATGCTGTGGGGCTAAAAATAGAAAAAGAAAGAGAGAAAATGAGATGGCATGTCAATTGATGCGACAGCAGCTAAATAACTGCATGCATTGCTGAAAGCCAACAGGTAGGATTTAAAATGTGACATCCAGGCATGGCCATCGGGACTACCGGGAGATTCCCGCTGGGCCGACGTGCTTTTCAGCCAATACATTTCATCCTTTTTTAATTTATTTGTCTTAACGGCCCACAAAACTCATACATCGGCGGCCCATTTGTTTGTTGTTTGTTTTTCTTTTGTTTTTTGCTTAATTGGCGGCGCTGTGCTGGTGTAATGCATTGGTCAAAAAAAGTCAGCTTTAGTTTTTTTTTTTTTTTTTTCTGACACTGGCCCATGAAATATGTCATTATGCGCTTATATCTTTCAAGTATAGAAATTAGTGCAAAACTAATTATGAAAGTTTCCTTTATTTTTCTGTGCATTTGTTTTACAATAGCCTTTATGGCTATTACTATCATGGGATTAATATTATAACTATTATTATGTAGGCCTAATGTAGACAGACACTAACTAAAAGAGGTTCAAATTTTTCTCTGTTCACCCTGAATCTGGGTTGGAGCTTTTAATTTTGAACTCTCAAAGTGCACCAGACTGCTGAATTTAACATTACAGAACACAAAAATTTTTTTTTTGGGGGGGGGGGGGGGGGGGGGGGCTAAAATTGTTGCTGCATACCCCTCTGAAACTGGGTAGTTGCGCCCCTGGTCGGAGAGAGGGCGGCGCCCCAGCGCCCTCTATGGGCGAGCCGCCCCTGGTGTTCAGTAACGTAACACTGTCGCTAAATAGTAACGTTTTTCGGGTAAAAAGTAGTCTAATGCGCTACTACTGAAAATTTGGTAACGAAACGTAGTTCCTTTTTCAATTCGGCAAAATGTTACTTTTCCCTGGGCCATCTCGTAGTGAACGCCTACAGAGAGAAATGCACATAATGGATTACATAATCAGAGAGTAGCCTATTTATTTTCGTTTGGAATTGTGTAGTTTAAAGATATTTCAAGCTTTCTATATATCGATTTATGTACTGTATCATGCCTGTGAGGCATACTCTGAGTCTCGGTTAACTTATGATGAGGTGCACCGGCACCGTCTGTCATGATTGTTTTGGGTAACACTTTTCTTGAAGGTGTGTGCATTAGAACTTACATGACACTTCATAATCATGACATGACATTTGTTATGAATATGAAGGAAGTTTTATGCATGTTTGTGACAACTGCCATTAAGTGTCATTCGCTCAGTTATGACATTTTTAATGGAAATATGACATCGTTTGAGATGTATTTGTAATGACAGCTTGACCTAAACCAATGCATCATAAACCTGTTAGTGTCTTTGTCATGACAACTTGGCATTACTAAGACAACACAACCTGTCATAAACATGACATAGCAGATTAATGATCAAACTTGAGAAACCACCTAGCTTTATTGGTTACCATTACATTAAACTGTCAGGTGGTTGGTTTTGACATTGGCTGTCATGAAGCCATTATAACTTTTTAATGACAAATTCAATTAATACCACTGTAGTTGAGGTCACGAAAAATATTCATGACACCGTTATAATGGCCTCATGACAGCCAATGTTAAAGCCAACCACATGACAGTTTAACTTCATTTTATGTCAAGTTGTAATGACAAAGACACTGACAGGTGATGATGTTATGGTTTACAGTATCTCAAGATGTCATAACAAAGACATCTTAAACAATGTCATATTTGCATTCAAAATGTCATTATTGAGCGAAAGACACTTAATGACAGTTGTCATAAACATGCATAAACCCTACTTCATATTCAAGACTTGTCATGTAATGGTTATGAAGGTGTCAGTCTTATGCACAGGGCTTCAAGTAAAGTGTTACCTTATATTGTCTGCTATATTTGCTACTTATACTTTATTAAATCCAGGCAATTGGTTGATATATATATATATATATATATATATATATATATACAAAACAAAGTTCACTTTAAAGAAAGGCTGTTTTCAAAACAAAACTTAATGAAGTGGTCAAAATCATGCCTGACCCACTCAATGTCTCCTGATTTATTGCGCATCCATCTTACTCGTGCTGTTCACTAGATGGGAAAAAAAAACATAGATCTGAAAAAAATAACATTATAATATTTTAACAAATATGAAACTAAATTTGCTTATTTAATGGCTACAACACGTAGGCCTATAATAGGCCTATAGACTCTCTATTTGTACAAATTGCTGCACATTCATTTAATTATGAATTTTACACACATAATTTGAAAGGCTTTTTTTACGTGCATAGTAAAACATTTCTGCAACATTTATAAAGTTCACGGATAATTATGCGTGCATTTATTAATCATTATGATACTAAAATCATAATAAAGTAGGCTATACGATGTACAAAAAATCAGATGAGCCCAGAATATGTACACGTGTTTAATTACATGTTAAGCATTTTTCTCCCATAGAAAACCATTAGAAGAATGCTTAATTTGGCTTAATGCAGATTAGAATGTCCCCTTATGTCGAAATAAGATGCGTTTCTTTTTTTTTCTTCACCATGCGGTTCAGGACTTCCATAGAATACACCCTGGATATAATTGCTTCCAGAAATTATTTTTGGGGGTGCTAACAGGGAGCTTTGGTCTTTTTTGGGGGCTTTCTTTCTATCCCCTCCCTAGCGTCGCCCATGCATATGCCTATCCATTAACGGACATTTCTTATTTTAAATATTCAAAATTTTGATAAATGCATTATGCATTTATGGCTTTATATATGGCATTGTGCATAGTAGAACTTTATGTTGGCTTACACATGTAGGAACAGTAAAGTAAAGTAACGGATTACTTTTTTTAAGAAGTAACGAGTAACGAGGTACACTACTTTTTAAAAAAGTAACTTCCCCAACACTGTCTAGCAATGACCCAGAACACCCTAGAAACAACCTAGCAGTAACCTAGAAACCAACAGGAACATTTCATGTTACATTTTATATTTACAGTGGTGTGAATAAGTTTGGACACCCATGCTAAAGTTGCCTAAAAAGAGGAATAAAAAAAAATCACCTTTTGGATATTGATCTTAATGCCTTAATTAGAAAAATGAGGAAAACTCCAACCTTTAAGGACACAAATTTTCTTTGTGAATGAATAATGTATCATAAATAAATACATGTTTTTCCTTAAAATACAGGGTGCATAAGTCAGAACACCCCAATGTTAAATTCCCATAGAGTCAGGCAGATTTTTATTTTTAAAAGCCAGTTATTTCATGGATCCAGGATAATATGCATCCTGATAAAGTTTCCTTGGCCTTTGGAATTAAAATAGACCCACATCATCACACACCATTCACCATGCCTTGAGATTGGCATGGTTTTACTTCAGTTAGCCTAATAGCTGGTTTGATTTGCATTGAAAGATGATCTTATGGAAAGTACCCCATGCCAATCTCTAGCTGTGGTGGAAGGTGTGTGATGATGTGGGGATATTTTAATTTCAAAGGCCAAGGGAACTTTGTCAGGATGCATATTATCCTGGATCCATGAAATAACTGGCTTTTAAAAATAAAAATCTGCCTGACTCTATGGGAATTTAACATAGGGGTGTCCTGACTTATGCATCCTGTATTTTAAGGAAAAACATTTATTTATTTATGATGCATTATTCATTCACAAAGAAAATTTCTGTCCTTAAAGGTTGGAGTTTTCCTATTTTTTTTAATTAAGGCATTAAGATCAATATCCAAAAGATGATTTTTTATTCCTCTTTTTAGGCAACTTTAGCATGGATGTCCAAACTTATTCACACCACTGTATGTGCTTCAGGATTCAGTATAATCTCATGCCTATGTTTACTCAGAGATCTATTGGTGCTTATATATACTGTTTGTTTGCGTGTTGTATGTGTGGTAGGTGTACAGTAGTCTGGATCTGTCTCGAGGACAGCTGGAGGAGAAAGGAGAACAGACAGAGAAGACAACAGACAGTCCTCTCACTGTTGACTCACTGAGCTGGACTCCAGACTTCACTGAGATGTATGTTACCCACAAAGCCTTTCCATTTAAAAGGCTCAGATCCCAAGACAATGTGAAAAATCTGAAAATAAGACCTCATAGAATATATGAAGAGTTCAGATGCAAAAGCCTCTAAATGCCATTTGAAATTTTCTTCTTTAATGATGATTTTTATCAAACTTGTATATTTAAGTTCAGTAATTTCACTTAAATAACAATTAATAGGTAATTATCATTGCCATTTAAGTGAAATCACTGAACTTAAATATACAAGCTTGATAAAAATTATCAATCTAGAAGAAAATTTCAAATGGCACTTGGAGGCTTTTGCATCTGAACTCTTCATATGCACCTCTATACTCACTTGCCACTTGCCACAATTTTTGTTTTAATTGAAATGTTTGTAGAATGTGATTTTTCCAAGTGGATTATATAGGTTGTTTCTCTTCTCCAGCCCCTCTCTCTCTCATTCTTCTGACACTGAGAGCACCAGCTTGAGCAGATGCTCTGGTCTTCTCCCTAAATTTGCAATCTCAGCAGAAGTGGAGGATGGTGAGGGCTCCCTCTCTCTGGAAGACCCAGTAAAGTGACCTTCAGTATTGGGGAGTTGCCTCAGGATGAGCCAGATCCCACCACACCCTGTAGCACCATGAGTAACTCCACACTCTCAGGTATGGGGGGATTTATGGGAGATTGGGCTGTATACTGTATGCATTAAACTTGCTCCACAAAAAAATGTTGTTGCACTTTATTCGGATGGTCTACTTTAGACATTCTACTAACTATAATTAACTTTGCAAATACATGTCAATTATCACTCATTAGAGTATAGCAGACTAGAGTAGACTGCGTTTTGTCTGGGGTCTCAAGAGACTGTATTTTTTTTTTTTTTTGCTATACCTCAGTTGACCCCCAGTTGACCTGAAACAATGTGATCAATGTGATTTGTTTGATCAAATTGATAGCTTCAAAAATATCTCCTGGGTATTGATCAGGTCAAATGAACGTGTAAAAAATATTGAAAAGGGGAAATAATAAGTAAATTGTATAATAATTACTACACTTACGGTACGTTTTCACTACAATGATGTACTAAAAACTGAATTTTTCATGTACAGACCACAACGTTTTTAAAAACGATCCCCATTCACACGGATCCATGAAAACAATTCAATACGCTGTATTATTCTACCTGCCCAGTAGTTGGCTGTCAATTTAAGCTCTACGTGCCTATAAACTGAACACGTAATACGCATGCGCATGACATATTTTTTTTGTAGTTTACACGCAGAAAATAACTGTACCGTTTTCAAAAGTTTGCATCTTCAGGACCCCAAAACACCATTGTTGTGTAAATTAATTTGAGATCAGATTAACAAATTGTGCAAAATTAGTGTGAATGCTCTGTAAATAGTGTCTGGTCTGGTCTGGTCTGTTTAGTATAAATTTACTACTTACCTTCAATTTTTTTGAGTAGGCAGTTTCTCCGAGCACCTGGATCAGATGCCGTCACAGGGAGGTGGAGGGGAGAGTCTGGACGGCTCCTGTAAGCCCTCCTCAGACACAGGCTTCTTCCTGACTGCTTCCAAACCTGAGACAGCAGACAAACAGTTTGCAGTCAGCAAAGTGCCAAAATCAGTATCTACCAGTGCCCTGTCACTCATGATCCCTGGAGGTGAGTGAGTGTACAGTATGTGCATGCTGGAAGAACATTTGTTGTTATTGCCAGTTTATTTATTGATTTATTAATGTATGATTGGGCCTCTCTTGTTCCCCCAGATGTTTTTGGTGTGTCACCATTAGCAAGCCCCATTTCTCCATACTCGCTGTCATCAGACCCATCCTCTAGAGACTCATCCCCCAGCCGTGATTCTCCACTTAGCAGTGTCAGCAGTCGTCAGCCAATCATCATACACAGCTCAGGGAAGAAGTTTGGCTTCACTCTGCGGGCGATTCGGGTCTACGCCTGTGACAGTGATGTTTATACAGTTTATCACATGGTTTGGGTAAGTGTGGGTGGCATCTCAATAAAAACCAAACAGCTGACAACATGTATTCTTACTTGAAGTTGTGGCTTGTAAGGGGAAAAATAAATTAAACTTGGAAAAGATTTTTCATTTCTCATTTTGCTGCATTACACATAATTAAGACTTTTTTGTTTCCTTTTTGGGGGGGAATAGAATTTAGAAGATGGTGGTCCTGCTCACATGGCTGGTCTTAAGGCTGGAGACCTGATCACTCATGTGAATGGAGAAACAGTTCACGGGCTGCTTCACACTGAGGTGGTGGAACTACTGCTGAAGGTGCAAAATGAATTGATGTTACAACCAAAACACTATTTTCACTGCTTATTTTTATCACTTTGTGTTACAGTATTTCTGTAATTGACACTTAATTTTGTTTTGTAGAGTGGAAGTAAAGTAGCTATATCCACGACCCCTTTTGAAAACACTTCTATCAAAACTGGTCCAGCTCGAAGAAATAGTTACAGAAGCAAAATGGTGAGAAGAACCAAGAAACCCAAGAAAGAGAAAACCCAAGAAAGGTAGGAAAACAGGAATATCAATATTCTCATCATTCTTGTCTGTTTCACATAAATTTAGATAAGCTGCCTACACACCATTAGCAAGATCCCCCGCTGCCAATAGATGGAGCTGTTGTTGCGTTTTTATTTTTTTTAATATGCACTCAAGCTACTAGCTACTGCATACAATGCATACTGTATATTGTGTAATAGTTTTTTTTTTAATTATTATTTGTTTTTTTTTAACCACAGGCAATATGTAATTATAACCATTTTAGTTGTTTATCAAATGTTATGTTAAAAAATATATTGTCAAATGACCTTAGTATTGGCAAGTGTAATTTTGTATTATTCTTCAACAAATAACGAATTTGGATTTTTAAAAAAAATAAAAATAATAACTTTTGATATTGCATTATGAAATATAATATTCCATTAGGTGTGCTTTCAATATATATACTGTACATTCTTGCAAATGTATGTATATTGTATACTGCAAAATGTCATTCTGAATTTTTTTTCAGTCACGCTTTTTTCCTCTCCAGGCGGCGTTCTGTATTCAAACGCTTTGCCATGCAGCCCTCTCCACTTTTACACACCAGCCGCAGTTTCTCCTCGCTGAACCGCTCTCTGTCTTCAGGAGAGAGTCTACCTGGATCTCCCACACACAGCCTCTCACCACGCTCCCCAACTGCTGCCTTTCGTGCAACACCTGATTTTAGCCAATCAGGTTTGTGCCGTACATTACCTAGACAGTGTTTCTGTAAAAATAACATATCTTAAAGGGTTAGTTCACCCAAAAATGAAAATTCTGTCAGTATTTACTCACCCTCATGTTGTTTCAACCCCGTAAGACCTTCGTTCATCTTCGGAACACAAATTAAGATATTTAAGATATTAAGATCGCTCCTGCATACAGTCCATAGGCTTCTTGAGGTACTGGCTCTTGCTGTCCCCGAAAAGTCATTAAAGACATCGTTAAAATAGTCCAAGTGACTACAGGGGCTCAATCTTAAGTTTATCAAACGACGAGAACACTTTTGTGCGCAAAAAAACAACAAAAATAACGACTTTATTTCAACTATTCACTTCCTTCTCCATGAGCCTGTAAGTCAGTTAACGTAGTGTGATTGCGTAGAGCTACGTCACACGTAGGCTCACTATTGGCCGACGCTGGTCATGTGTGTGTGATGCGTGTGACGTACAATAACAGAAGCTTATGCTATTAAACTAGTAACCTGACTCGCGCAGAGGGAGAAATAAACGAATAGTTGAAATAAAGTCGTTATTTTTGTTGTTGTTTTTTTGCGCACAAAAGTGTTCTTGTCGTTTGATAAACTTAAGATTGAGCCCCTGTAGTCACTTGGACTATATTAACGATGTCTTTAATGAGGACAGCAAGAGCCAGTCCCTCAAGAAGCCTATGGACTGTATGCAGGAGCGATCCTAATATCTTAAATATCTTAATTTGTGTTCCGAAGATGAACGAAGGTCTTACGGGGTTGGAACAACATGAGGGTGAGTAAATACTGACAGAATTTTCATTTTTGGGTGAACTAACCCTTTAATATTATGTTTCATATCACACCAAAGGGGGGCAAATATTTACTGCTTTAGTGCTCTGTGCATTTCCTGTTAAGTTCAGTGTGTAATTTGTATTGGGATTGAAAGTCATTTAAAAAAAAAAAAAAGAATGTTGGCACTGTATATTATCTTTTATATGTTAGCTTTCCATTCTTTCTTATAGGTGGAACTTCATCACAGAGTAGCTCCCCCAGCTCCAGTGCACCTAACTCACCTGCAGGCTCTGGCCACATCCGACCCAGCACTCTGCATGGCCTGGGTCCCAAACTACCTGGACGGCTCCGTCAGGGCCGACGTAAATCAGCAGGGAGCATTCCCCTCTCACCATTAGCTCGCACACCCTCCCCTACCCCTCAGCCTCAGCCAACCTCTCCTCAGCGGTCCCCATCTCCCTTGCTGACCCACACTGTGGGAAGCTCCAAATCTTCTCAGGCCTTCCCTACCAAAATGCACTCACCCCCCACTATTGTACGCCATATGGTTCGACCGAAAAGTGCAGAGCCTCCTCGGTCTCCACTCCTGAAGCGGGTCCAATCCGAGGAGAAGCTCTCCCCTTCTTATGCTGGTGACAAAAAACATTTATGCACCCGAAAGCACAGTTTGGAGGTCACCCAAGAGGAGTCTCAAGGGGAGGCCTCATCTAGAGGGGAGTATACTCAACCATGCATAGAGGACAGCACTTCTTGTGAGCCACCCACCATTACTCGGGTGAGACCTGCTGAGCAGGGTTGCCTAAAGCGGGCTGTCACTCGTAAAGTTGGCCGCCAGGAGTCAGTAGAGGAGCTAGATAGGGAGAAGCTAAAGGCCAAAGTGGTGGTAAAGAGGCAGGACTGGGCTGAGAGACGGGAGTCTACTCAAAAACAAGACATTATGCAAGATGTGGAAGGTGCTGCTGCTGAAGAAAAGGACTGGGGTATCCTAACACGTCCCAGTGCGAGAACCCAGGTTCCCGAATCTGCATCCTTGGACAAGTCTACGAATGCTACTTTAAAGGATGTCCTCTACAAAAAACTAAACCCAAGAGTCTGTGAGAGCATAGCAGAGTCTGTCGCCAGTGGGGACTGTGTATCACTTTTAAGTGAGAATATGAGATCACCATGTCAATCAGAGCGACAAATGTCTTGGTCAATGAAGGAAGGTAATAAACCAGAGAGGTTAGATTTCAAAGCCTCCAACATGGAGTTTGCCAGAAAGAGGCAGTCCTTTGAGGAGAGGGAGGACTCTTTGTGTCGAATATCTTCTGGTGTTCATGAAAGCATTCATTTCAACACCACTAGGTCCAAAAGTCTTCAGCTGGATTCTGCGTTGGCTTTAGAACATGTTAAAGGGGGCATGTGCACCATCCATGGCACTTCTGAAACTTTGACCCCTAAGCATTTTAGTGGGAGAGGGGAGAGTGCAGTAGAAAAACTTCAGATGATTGCCTCTGATGGCCCTATCAGGAAGACCTCCTCAGAGTACAAATTGGAGGGACGGCTTGTCTCCTCCTTAAAGCCACTAGAGGGCACCTTGGACATTGGTCTGCTATCTGGACCTCGTGTATCCAAGACTGACACATGTCTATCCAAAATGGCAGAAAGTCATGGTGAAAGTGCTTTATTAGCAGAGGATCTATGTGTAAAACTGCCAATTCAACAGAAAACCGCAGAAAAACAGAAAGGTTCACAGGCAGGGGTGCCCGGGGCGCTTAGCCATAAAGACAATGTGTATTTGAGCAGTAAAACCATTACAAAAGAAGAGCCCTTTGCCAATAAGGACTGTAGAATAAATCCATCTTGTAATGAGGCCCTGCATGATAGAAATAAAATTGATGGAGTGAAGTTGCAGATTACAAACAGTAAACTAGAGTCCATAGACACAATTGTAAGATCTGAGAGTAGGCTAAAGACAGCTCAGGAGATGAGGGCTGCACGACACAGCGCTCACTTTGCATGTGGGAAAACGCCCTCCATCAGGGAAGTCAGCAATGAAGACCAGGATGATGACATGGAAAATATAAAGGAGACCTCTCCAAAGCAAAATGAAACTCAGCAGATTCAACCAGTCCTTACTAAAGCCAATGAACCAGACAAGTCCCTAGGGTCTTCTGCTGTTATTGCCCATCTCAACTCTATCCAGCAAACCCAAGAAGCAGATTCTGGCAAAAATATTAGTAGGTTGAGTGAGACACCAACCTGTTTTCCAAGTTCAGCATTGTCTGAGAAGAATGTCATAAATAATGACAAACCAGCCGATATAACACACACTTCAGTGATAAAACAGATCCATCCATCAAAAGATGTTACAGACAACACAGTTGCGATATCAAGCCCAACCGTGGCTGCAACCAAGACTCTAATAGATAGAAAGAATAAGGCTGGTAGCATCAAAGACTTTTCTGACCCCAATCCAGAGTGTCTTCAAGATTTGAAGGAAAGCAAATTATCTACCAGAGTAAAAAGTTTAGACAAAAGCGCAGAGTCTGCAATCAGAGACCGAACTGGTTGTACGCCAACCTCAGCCGCTGACTCAAGGCAGGATAAATCCGAGATATGTGTCAAAGAAACAGTATCTACCCCGGAGAGTCTATCTTTAGCTTCTTCAGTCACAATTTCCATGGTCTCTTCTGTCTCACCAATAGCAGATACACCTGAGGCCCCTATTATTAAAAGTTCATTGTCTCCCAAGCCTACCTTTCAAAGAAAAGCCACTCCGTCCACAATTGCCGCCCCACTGAAGACCATGCATGCTACTGATTCAAAATCCCAGGCCTGTGCAATCACCACCCCACAATTTTCTGGCTTGGCTGAAGTAAAAACTACCACCATCCAACCTCTACAGTCTGATCAGACGTGTGCTAAAAATGGACAAACAGCAAGTAATTCTGATCAACTCTCCAAACAAATCTCAGACAGAGAACAAAATTCTGATGTGTCAAGTGGTAGCAGAGAATTTCATGTGCAAACCCATCAGTCTCAACTGGCCTCAAACAAATATCAACATGCAGACAAGGTAAAAACGAAGGAGGCAAGTAGCCAATTACATTTTACAGTAAAGGAACCTAAAACCCTGCCAGCATGTGGAGACAAAATGGACGTGAGTTCTAAAATAGCCCTTAAAAAGGACTTCAAATGCAGTGTGACTGAAAAGATTACCTGTGTCCCTAACCCTAACTCTTCAGGCCAAGATGAAGTTTCAAAAAACTGTGAAAAGCTAGAAGCCATCTTCAAAAGCCAAGTAAACATGAATATCACATCAAAGGACACAGGTGCAAGCCCACCAAAGACTAGAAGTTCTGACACTTCAACAAAAGACTCTGTGCATGTGCAATCCACAATGGCAATGGAAGAAAAGCAGAAATTCAAGAGTGTTCTTGGCATAGACACCCAGAAGGTTGATAAGCAAGTTATGGACATGTCCACGACAGAGACAATTCCAGCACTGACTGCAATAAAACAGACGCAACCTTTGGGCGGTGCTATATTAAAGCAGACACCTTTGAGTTCCAAAAACAAGCCCAGAGTAGACTCTCCACTTGTCACACAATCTATTGGGAAGGCTGTTGAAGATAAGGGAAAGCAGGAAAACAGAGCACAGCTACAGCCCATTGTCAAGGACAATATGGTAAATCCAAAGGATCCAAGAGTGTCCGTCTTGTCTACGTCTAAATCCAAGCCTCAGAAAGAGACCCCAGTGTTGCCAGTACCCGCTGTTAAAATACATGTGTCTTGTGGGCTTACTTCTGGTAAGGGCAGCGCTGCTGCAGTTGAGACATTTGGACCTTCCTCAATGGAACAAGTAAAGTCCAGAATTGATGCTCCAAGATCAGAGTCTCTTAAGGGTTCCAGCACAAGTGATCCCATTGGGAAGACTATAACTGCTATATCCAGTCCTGACCCTAAACATGGCGCCAGTGAGACAAAGGTGTCTGACAAACAGATTTCATCCAACCGAAAAGAGCAAGTAGAAAAGAAGAGAAAGGAAGCCACTCAAGATGTATTGTCCGCACCCAAAAATAATCGTAAAGACTCATCAAGAGGCATGCCTTTGGCTAAGGATAGTACTACTCTTGAAAAAGATTCAGTCCGTTCTAAACAAACAAAGGATCCACCACGTGGTTCAACTTGTAAAAAGTGACGTATTGTATTGTAGTTGCCGAGCGTATTGAATTTTAAAAGAACCAAGGATGTAAACTTAATTTTTGTCTATATGTAATATCTTTAAGCCTTCCTATCTGAGGACCGGTAAAGCTGTTACTTTAGGTTTTCACGCGAAACCAGAGAAATTAATTTGTTTGTTTGTTTTGTGATCTATAATGCTTTGTTAATATTATGTCTAAAAAAAGTGTAGTCTGAATGTTGACATGTTTTGCTGCTGATTTGTGGTCACGTTTTAGATCTCGCAAAAGCGCCAAAAGTAGACATTGTGTTGTGTTGCAGTGTGATGTAACAAGCGGCGTGTGCAATAACTGTGGAGGCGGAGTATGGATGCCTTTTTTAAGGCTTAAATGAACTGTGCCAATCATTGTGTATAATTATACCAAACAAAAAGCACCTTGAATTTAGAGCTGAAGGTGCATGTTAACTGACTGTGTAAAAAGAAAAAAAAAGGCTTCACGCTCATTCAAGCTAGCGTTACGTATTTTACTGGTTTTTGATGTATTTAAAAACCACTAGGAAAGTATATGTAGCAATGGTGCTATTAATATGGCTTACACTCTGCAAGTTGAACAGATCACTACAATTTATTTTCTATATTTTTTTTTTTTTTTTTTTTTTTTTGACCTTATCAGCGAAATCTTGTTTTGGGTAGTGGTGCACAGAGGGAACGCACTTTGTCCTGTGCTTCTCACCTGGAACTATTTTATATTGGAATCATCTTGTGGTTCTGGAATCGAAGTGGAAGGGGCCTTAGAGTTTTTGGGGGAAATATGACTTGCTGTTCTTAGCAGGTCATGGTGAAATTCACATTCCTTTCCCATGCATTTCTACGAATTAATTTTTATGCAATCAATATATTGTAAATACAGCAGCATTAATTGTACAGAGCGGTCAGTTGAAAATGAGTGTTGTATGTTTTATATGTATATATTTTGCTATGTCATATGTTTGTATACTGTACTCAATGTTAGTCGCTAGTGATGTCATCTGCTCAGTAATTGCGCTGATATTGAGTCTAAACTAGCAGAAGTCTCAATCTGAAACAAAGTGTACTTGAAGTTGCACTAAGGAATGTTGAGGTTAACCACATGCATTTTCAGATACGTGTTTTAAGTGACGCAGCAGAGTTGTTCTCTTAATGTTCGTAATTGATGCTGATTGAAGTCATGCATTTACATTAAAGAGGGACAGGGGCAGATGCAGAACATTATATAAAAGGCAAGTTTCAGAAACTAAAGGATTACTCCATTATTAAGGTTTGCTACTATGTAGATTATATACACTCTGTTTTTCAAAAAATGAAAAATGTCAAGCTTTTAGGGCTAAAATTTCCCATTTGGCATTCAAGAACATGATGTACTTCCCCTGGTTTGGTTAAAAGGGCTTATACAGGGATAATCAAAACATGGCATTGTGGTATGTCAGAGCTTGTGGTAAAATGTCCAATCAGTTTCTAACATATTCATATGCAAAGTAAAACCCTTAAAAATGGGGATTGTATACGACTGAACTAAATGCATTTGTGCTGTTAACATCTCATGCAGTAGAACTGATTAGTGCATTTCCTTAGAGACTTTTTTAAAGCTCTCTTTACATTTTCTTTATTACCAAACATTTAAAAGCATATTTGTCATTAGTCACATTTGATTTGATCTTTAGGCAGTTGCATAATGACTACTGAAGGTTAGTATCAGAAAAGAGGAGTGGGTGAATCATTGTGTCTTTTGATATTTGGTCTTAACTTTAAACCAGCTGTAGCTAACGTACCAACTTAAAGCAAAGCAACTGTATATCTAAGTCCATTTTAGTATACTTGTATTGTGAAACATCTATTACAGTATGATATTAAAGTATTTGCAATTAATCTTTTATGTAAACAGAGCATATATACAATATATATTGGCTGGACACACAAATGTGCATAATTACCTTAATAACGGAATACACCATGTAAAGAGAATTTAATAATGTAGCCAATTCGAAGTTGATTGTAGAGATTTTAAACCACATTAGCACACTGAAGTTTCTGTTCCTCATAGACTTTACAAAAGTAGTCTAGGAGGTCTGCAGAGATGCAAGGCACCTTAAGATTAAAAACCAACGCTTATTGGGATTTTGAGGATAACATAATATTAACTTTAATGATATAATTTGAATGTTTTATAGGACATATGCATTGTCTGTTTTCAAATATCATTTATTTTCTTTATCCCCCTTCCTGTCGTGAAAATTAATGGTTGAATAATTAAAGAAGCACATTAAATGCTTGTTTACAACTACTTCATGGATGTATATTTTGTACATTTGTGTTATTTGCCAAATTAATGTGCTACATCACAGGCAGTTATGCTGTGATGGACGTGTGTGTGTGTGAGTTCCTCATAGCGGACACTTGCTGTTGAAGACCGTCAGTGTGGTAGCCTAATTGTTTGTTGTCTCTCCAGTTCAGTATGTTCTTGCTTGTTTCTTGGAGTTTTCTTTCCTCTCTCTATGTGTGAAAACAGTGTTTATGTAGATGACTCTGCTTATCATTGTCTTTTAGGATCTGTGCAATAAGATGTGGTTTTGAGTTTTGTACATCACCCACAGAAAGCTCTATGGATGTCATAGATGTTGTACACTATAGAAATATTTATACTTCTAAAGTTGTAAAATACTGAAAATAAAAAGGCATGACAAAATTACATTTTATTGTATTTTATTATTCCTTTGCTTTAAAAGTTCTTTAACCGTCGTACACTGTTCGGTTTCTGGGTGCGGCCTTGTTGGAGCGGGTCAAATTGTCCCTAATTGGATTCAATAGAAATAAAAATTGTATAAACCCTAATTGGATTCAATAGAAATATTTATTTTTATGTACACTGCATGCAGAATTAGGCACATTTACTTTTTTTTTTTCTAGGCACATTTTACCAATTCCAAACCACATTAATCGTTATAACTACTTTTAATTTTGTATTTAATCATTTATAAGTGATATATAATTTTCCATGAAGGCTGGAAATGAAAAACGCCTAATATTTTTTGCATAATTATTTTTACAGATAAAAAAAGCCCAAAAAAGAGATTTTACTGGGACTGAAAAGTCAAAAATGATGAAATGAGAATTCTAATATAATACTAAAAAATATAGGTATTAATATTCATAGGGTAGTAAATATAAATGATTTTTAGTTTGGTTCTGTACAGTTGCCTTAACTTTAAAATATGTGGGTCAAATCTACCCATGCACAAACATCACAAACGTAATAGAAATGATGTGTGTGTGTTAAAACGTTTTATCTATGTACACTGTAAAAAAAAATTACAGTAAAATACTGGCAACAGGGTTGCCAGCCAGTTACTGTATTTTTTACAGTATAGTTCTGTAATTTAATTTACAGATTTTTCCTGTATTCTCTGATTACAGTAAATAACTGTATTTTTTACAGTAGTTCCATGAATCTTTGTATTCGCTATATCTGGGAAATATGTGAAATGCCAGCTGAATTTTAAATGTTAATTATTTATCAACTGCATTAGCTTTAAACAATTGTTTTTAAATACATTAAGTGTTGTATAACGCACAACTTAATTCCCCTATTACTTCACTAAACAAACATGAAGATAGTTCACTTCGTGTATACAGACAGGAGCCATCTTGAAAAATAGTCTCGATAAGTCAAACCACAAACGTCGTGCTGAGTGATCTGAACTGTATGAAGTTCAGCGAACTTCTGAACTATGAACAGCGTTCGGGGATCGACTTATCGAGACTATTTTTTAAGATGGCTCCTGTCTGTATACGCGAAGTGAACTGTCTTCATAAAGTATCTTCTTATTAAACGGTCTGTACACTTACAAAGTTCTCAATGCTTCGTTTTGCATGTATGGAGCCTCATTATGTTACTGTGTTAGTGTGGGGCTATTTTGAGCCTTGTTAGTGGTATAAACTAGCGATTTCTTTTTACTTACTCAATGCCCCCATTACTACCATTATACGCTAAACAGTTTTTAGAGATAAAACTCTTTACATTCGATTATCATGAAAACAAAACTCAGAGAACTATTGACTAGGTACCGATGTTTTATTAGACCAAAGGTTCATTGTTTGCCGGAGTTCTCCTTTAAGGTTGGATTTGGCCAGGCTCTAACTATAAACAGGAGAGTCTTCTCAAAACATCAAGATAAAAAGTTCTTTCTCTCAAGGAGAGGACACTTTAAAACTAACACGGTTCTCAACGAGAGAGGACACTTTAGTCTAACGCAGTAAAGACTTTAACTGAGAAATGGCCTCTCAACTATATGTTTCAATAACCCATGCGACCATTGCGGTCAGAGTACCCTATAAAAGCAGATGGGTGTATTGACAAGTTAACAAAGTCCATAATTAATTAATTTAATTTAATAAGCCAGGCTAAATGAGCAAGCACTGTTACTGCATTCCTGGCATGGACCTTCAATCACCCCTCAGATATTTCATACAGACATTAAAGAATACATGAAAAAAAAAAAATCAGTTATCACACTGGTAACTTCTATAACCAAGTAAAATCTCACAAGCCTAGTAGAGAAGTCATTCAGCTCATTTGATATTAAGAAAAATATTGATTATACCTTGATTATAATCACTCATTAGATATACATTGAAGAGGCAGTGGATTCCAGAATCCACCCCTTCGAAATGAAATGAGAAAGTCACAAAATGTCAAGAAAAAAAAAAATGGTTAACCGATATTTCGGACAACTAAAAAAACAAAATAACTCAAATTGACCTGCAACATAATACAAGGTTAAAAGTCTCAAAACAAAATAATCAAGGAAGTAGATAAAGTGATTAAAAAGTATACCTAGGTCATTTACAAAAACTCTGAACTGCAAATAATAATAATAATAAAATAATAATTTGAGTTATGTTTAAATAATAATAAGGCTTTTATACTGTAGATTGCCATATTTGATTTCCAATTTAAAGCAAACAAGCTTGCATATGGAGGAAGCCCAAACTAAATCTTTATTCTTTATTTAAATTTAAATTTAAATATTTTAAATAAATAATCTTTATTAGATTATTTATTTAATCTAAATCTTTATTCTTTATTAAATCTTTATATATTTAAATATTTATTCATTTAGCTGATGTCATTTGGCTTACAATTGCTCTACTGTATGTCAGAGGTCACACGCCTCTGGAGCTACTCTTGCTCAGGAACACATTGGTGTCTCGCAGTGGATTCACCACTGCACCATCACCATCTTCTGAATTTATAGCTGTGTGTATCTCTGATATCTTCTAATTCTCCTGACAAGGCAGAAAACGGCCGATGCAATTATAATCACCAGAATTATAACAAATACAATTACACCAACAGGAAATTCGCATTGAAGTTTAGCATCAATAATCCTTGTTTCTGTAGCATTACAAACGGTCTCCATTAAGTGTTTTACTTTGACTTTGTTTTTCTTAACCCAGTTGATGAACTGAAAGTTGCTACAGTTGCATACTAGGGGATTGTAACTCAGATCAACAGTGCTTCCTTCTCCCAAATTAATAATACTTCCAACATCCACTGTCACAATGGCATTACTGGCAAAGTTAAGTTGGATAGAATAGAGGGAGTAAAACCCAGAGGTGCTTAGTATGACAAGCTTATTTTCACTCAGGTCTACTTGCCTGAGGTGTGCGAGACCTTTAAACAAATTCTCTTCAAAGGCAGTTATTTTACATGAAGATAAAATGAGGGTTTCCAAAAGAGGGACTGATTTAAAGAGCTCTGCATGGCTAAGAACCCCTCCTTGAACGGGGTTCCCCTTCAAATTGAGGAGTTGCAAGGTTTTCAAGCCATTGAAGATGTGCATATTTGTCAGACTTGTATTTGTCCAGGAAAGATTTAGAGTTCGGAGACTCTGTAGATTGCTGAATGGTGAGCTGCCGTTCAGAGTGTAAAGTGAATGGCTGAAGTCCAAGTGCTCCAGGTGTGGAGACTCACTGAAAGGCTGTGAACTCCACACCATTGGTAAGCTATAGCTGAGATTGAGGAGCTTCAGTTCACTCAAACTAAACAGCTGGTCGTTACAACAAGGTCCTCTGAGTTTTACTGAACTGTGACTGAGATCCAGCTCCTCTAGGACTCTGAGACTCTCCAAGCATCTATTGCTGAATTCGAGGGACTTTAAGTTCCCGCTCACAGACAAGTGCGTAAGCACGGGAAAGCTTTTGGTGTTGATGCTGCAGACGTCTGAAAATCTGTTCTCATCTAGCACCAGATGGGACAAGTTGGACAGGCCAGTCATGTTAAAAGGCAATGACTCCAGGTGGGCTCTGGTAAGGTCGAGCTTTTTAAGCCCTTCAAGGCAATGAAACGTGGAATTATTTAGGTCTAGGAAATGATGAAGCTGGAAATCTAGGTCCGTAACGAGGATCTTGCAAAAAGATTGTAGAGCAGCTGATGGAATGACAACTTTTGGATCGTTTTCATACAATCCCAGTTTCAGCCTGTTGGTTGTAACACCTTCAAGCCCTCTCAGAAGGGAGGAGAAGTTCATTTTGCTGAAGCAGCCACTGAAATCAAGACTACTCAAGTTCAGTGATTGAAAAGCACCTGTTTCTATAGAAAAAAAATCGTTTCCTTTGAAGCTGATGCTCATCCCGACAACGTTGTGGATTGGTTGCAGGTCAGTCAGACTTATCCGGTCAATCGAGTTCATATCCAGCTGCAAGCTGTTCACCCTTTGCCAGTGGAAACTGCCTAGTCCATCTAATGAGCGAATGTCACTTCCCCCAAGGTCCAGAACCTCCAAAAATGCAAGATTATCCGATGGGATGTCTGATAGGCTTTTGATTTTTGACTGAGCTAGACTTAGATATTTCAATGCTTGTGGTCCAAAAAAAGCTCTACTTGCGATGAAAACAAGTGGGTTTCCGATTAGGATTAGGACTTCCAAGTCAGGCTGATTTTTAAAAATGTCTTCATACATGAAAGTGATACCACACCTGCAAGTTAAAAAGTTTGAGTGTTAGATTCTCTGATACACGGTTATACACAACTCAATTTGAAAGAAAACAAGCTTTGCTCACCTGGTCAAGTCTACTGAATGCAAGTTATTTAGCCTCTGAAAAGTGGAGTTGTATAGGGCGGGCAAGTAGTTGAAGCTAAATTTCAAAATTTGGACAGAATTTGGTACCTCATCTGGAATTAATTGTAGGTCCATACCACTACAGTCATAGCCGTTTGCTATCTAAAAGAAAGGGGAAAAAAAAACATAGAGTACAAGTGTTACGCTGAACAGTTAGACACAAGATAAAACTTGACATTAACAGAATTAATTCATGCTTCACGTTAGTGTAGAAAACCATGCAAACTAAACAACCATAAATTTACCTGTTGACATTGTCTAATAGCCCACGGTGTTGCTTCATTATGAGCTAAAAAGTGAAACAGAATAGTGTAACATAACATGTAAAAAACAAAATGCGTCTCCATTGTGTACAGTACAGAAGAGAACAATAGCTCCTCTTCTGTCAAATATATAGCCTAGGTAAAATAGAGGAAGTAGTATAGATTTTTTTTTTTTAATATCTGTAACTGTAACTTCCCTACATGTAATAACTTCCTATATTCAACAATAACTACCTATCTCAACAATGGTTTGCTGTGTGGTTATGAAAACAGTTTCACTGTAAAGTACAGAAAGCAAACTGAAGTT